CCCCAAAACCCCAAAACCCCGCAAGCATCTTATAATTACATTTCTGAGAATTCAATAAAAGAAAACTAAATTATGAATAAAAATATCTCTATTTACTGTATTTAATTCCATCATTTTTTAATTCCATTGATATTACATGGAATATTTTTTTTTCTTCATAAATATTTAATCTTTGGTATTGGATTACTTTAATATATTTTGCTTCTAAATAGTTCATCTTTTCTCCTATTCATCAACTAGTAACTACTCTTCATTTTTTATTAATTATCTGTAAGAAATTAATTCTATAGAATTATCTATCTAAAAATCATTGTTTTGGAGGAAACCTCTACTTGAAAATGAAACAGAAGGACGATTGGGTAGTTTCTAGGTAATGTCTGAAATAGTCTTTTTCTTAGATTATTTTTTTCTTTTTAGATACTGCTTAGTTCTTAGAAAATTGAAATGTGTCTTAGTTTGCTTGGATTAATTTTACAACTCTGTATTAATCATCTTTTTACTTTGCTGCATTTTAAGTCTAGGGGTTGATAATGAATTTAGTGATGTCTTTTATATTAACTTAGGCGCTGCAGTGTTTTTTCTAAAGTATTTTTTCAAATTTGCTTCATAATCATCAATTTTAATGTTTTTATTTACAAATCCAAGAACCTTATTGAAAAAACTAGCATATTGTCTAATCAGACAATTAATCATGATGAAAACCCAGTAAGTAAGGAAGAAAGTATTTTATGCAAGAATTAGTAAGAATATAATGAATAGAGCATCTTCATTCATTCTCACTTCTTCCGAAGTAAAAAAGATACCCCCTAATAAAGTCATAGTCTAGAATTGAATATTAGAGTAAATATTAAATTTACACAAGCGAATGTTGCATGAAAGTCAAGTTTATTAAATCTTGGATCAATATAAGGTTACATTTGATTTGTATAATATGTCTAGAATACTAAAGGGAGAATTCCAAGTAGTGCCTAAAATGATTTTAAAAATACAATCTTACTTTATAAATCAAAGTAGTTGAAGGGACAAAAGTAGCATCGATAATAAAGAAAAACTTCTTTAAATTGACTATTATGATTTCCCAAAAATATGCATCATCTTTTAAACCTATATAGAATATCCCATATACTTTTAGATTTTCTTAATCATTTAAAGTTTTCTTAAATTTTGTCAATTAGAAAAATATAAAAGCAGGAAAAGCAAAAGACCACATAGAAATAAAAGGAAGCCCAATAAAAGCTGCCAACTTTCTATGACTCTCACTCCAACATTAAATATCCATATTATTTATTAGATAACTATAGTTGTCTTCATATTAAAAGCACTAAAACATAGAAAAAATCATAGAAGTAACAGTAGGAAATACAATTAGTATAATAGCGTAACTTGTAATTTTGATGTTTCTAATGACTTAGAAGCTAGGATCTTTCCTTCGAAAAGTATATTTTATAGTTAACCATATAGCACTTGCTATGATACTGAAGGCTATAGGTAGAAATCCAAACATCAATATTTTTCCATAAAATGCTTAGTTTCTATCCAACCCAAACTACATCATTAAACAGTCGAAGGACAAAAGATTCTTTTATGATGATTGAAAAGATGAAAAATATGAGAGTGCTTATTTAACTCTATCTGGCCACTGTAAGTCTATATCTTAGCATAGCATTATTACTTGTAAATATCCAGTTAATATTCTTATAAGAACTGCTTAGGGCTTATTACGCTTAGGATTTCTTAAAACCTAACTAAATACTCAATTAAAAATAAAAATGAAAGTACAAGAGAATAATTGAAATGTAAAGGAAGATAGCTATCAATATAGCAAGGATTAATAAAATCTATATCTAGATAGGCTGACATTTTTAGCATCCTACAGAGCCAGAATCAACATAGATCTAAATGGTAAAATAAAGTTAATATAAAATATAAGATTACCTCATCATCTATAGTCTGACAAACTTAACATAATTTCCCTGAATGACCCTTTTAACAGTTCGACTCAAATCCTCCCCTATTGATTACAAATTAAAATAAATTCAAAAATATATACAGACAAGCTTTAGTGTAAAAGCATTCATGAATTTTAGCAGAATTGACTGAACTTCTCCAATAACCTGGTTCTACTATTATGATATTTCCACCTGGACAAGCAGTATATATAGGACACTGATTGCATCGAGTATCATTTGTATTTAATGAGTAAAATCCTCTTGGACAAATAATACACTTGTTATTTTGATTAATTTCTCCTTATTTACAGTCTCTAAAATTAACTAACACTTTTAATTCTAACATATTTTCATTATTTTGTGATTCAAAGCTTACTTTCAATAAAAGAATATTCAGTATCACTAAGTTCAATTTAAATAAGTGCTGCTTCCTTAGGAATTCCTTAGAGTAAGATATCAAAAAAGGTAAATATTCCATTTTGAGCAATTACTTTGGTCCTTCCAGCTATTGAAATTTAATCAGAGAACATATTAGCAGTTGTCATTGAATCAAGTACATATGATTGATTATCTTAGTCTAGAAGTCCGACTTAAATTGGTATTATTATATTCTATCCACTAGCTAAATCTTAAAGTTAGCCACTATTATCATTTATTATTGCAAGCTTGAAAGGAAAAGATGACCAGTTTGGTCCATATTAAGCATCGTTATCTAAATAAACATTATTTTTAATATTCTCAGGTCTAATACTATCATAATGTATGGCACCTCCTTTATATTTTGCTGAATTATTAGCAAAGAGATTATTGAATATTTTGAAAACACAGTTTTATTATAATAGGCATGAAAGGTATATTGATCCTCCTGAATCTGCAGCAGAGTTATTTGATAAAATTGAATAGTTCATATTGAAATTACTATACTCGATGTAAATTACACCTCCTATATCAGTTGATTGAATTAATGAAAAATTAGAAGAGTTTATATTTAGCAATGACACTGTGTTAGAGTTTTAATTGTCTCTTAAGTATATTGCTCCTCCTCTTCTACCAATCAAGTTAGAAAATTCTGAATTTAAAATGCTAACTTGAGATTGAAATGAATTAATTACTATTCCATCATGCTAATAGTTATTACCACTTTTAAAAACAGAATCATTAATTTATATCATGCATTTAACAGACTTGATTAGAATTGAATTGAAATCTGAAACCATAATTTTAGAAATAGATAAAGAAGTCTACTTAGTTGTAATAATATTAGAGAAACTTGATGCGTTAATGTTATTCATATGCAAATCGACTATATAAATAATTGATTCTTGTATCCTCATCATATCAGATAGACCATTTCCCTTTATTTAAGTAAGTTTAGATTTTAGTATATTAATTTTTGACTCATGAATATCCAGAATTGATCCTTAAATATACCTTATATTCAAGCCAGTTAATTCCAAATTTGATTGTGAAGAAATGGAAATAAGATATTAATTTGTTGAGATACTATTAATGCTTATATCATTTAGTTTAATAGAAGATTAAGTTGCTTCTAGCCATGGCATTTACATCTCATAAGTATTTTATAATGTTAGATTCTGAATATATAAAAAAGACAATGACTTCAGGTCAATTAAGTTAGATTGATTTTAGATTAACATATGATTTATTAAACTTAGAGTGCCTTTGATAACATTAATCTAGTAAATAGCTATTAATTGCTCTAAATTATTAATATTTCTGCTTAATACTTGATTTAACAAAAGCTCTTGAAATATTTAAAGGCTAAAATGACTTGATTAAGCTCGTAATACTAATTTTTAATTTAAAATTTCATCCATTACTTAATATATTATCAAATTCTAATAGAGTCCATTATTACTGATGTTGCTTTTTTCAATAGTCATATTATTTTATGAGTTAAAAATATAAAACAAATTAGCTTCAAGAGCACTATTATAACTGAATGAACTATTTCTAAAATTAGATATTCCATCGTTTTATTAATAAATAATTCCACCTTCAATAGCAAAATTAAATTAGAATTAGCAGCTAACTATTGATATATTTCCATTATTTTAGCCAAAGAAGACACCTCCTTGATTGGCATAATTATACTAAAATACACTATCATATATTTCGACTTAAGAATTTCTATCATCTGAAAAAATTATTGATCCTCGGCCAATACTGGCATTATCTTCAAATTCAGATCTAAATATTTTTAATTAGGCGTTTGATAGAACTTAAAATAATCCAAAGTTATTGCCATAGTTTTGATAAAAAAAGCTTTCTTTTACAATGACAACTTAGGGATTCTCTTAGTCATAAGTATTGTAAGGTTATAATTTTGAAAAATATCCTAAATTTCCAATAAAATAGGATTTCTAGATAGAAATTTAAAGCCCATTATGTTGCATATACATGAGATATCCTTTATCAAAGGAGTTATTTTTAAAAATGCTATCTGATATAACAAATTTGATATAATATGTGCTCAAGGCATATGTTCTAATCATTTAATGAATACTATTAAGCTTATTGTCTATTATTGTTGCATTAAATAAAGTGATTTCTCTGAACTAAAATTAATCAAGGGGTTTTACCTTGCTTATACTAATTAAAGGCATTGATGATTAAATGAGCTTAATATCCTTAAACAGAATATTTTTTCGATTATTTTGATATTTTGAAACTGAAATCGACTGCAAATTAATCAAGGAATTTTGATCAGAAGAAAGCAAAATTAAATTTTGCACAAACACACTTGATACTTGCAATTAATCTATAGATTCGAAACTTAATAAATCATTTTCAATAAAGGAATTTTCAACAGCAATCTTATATATATAGCTATCTACTGCCTCTAATATTGACAGTAGCCCAACATTTGCAAGGTTAGAATTATTGACTTATAAATTTTGTATCTAAATGACATCTATTGAAGTAACTTTAATAATATAATTATCCTTTGAATTCGGATTATTTCCGAAGTATTTATCAACAAAAATATCTTAGACATTGCATTAAATTCCATAGATGGTCATTGCTGTAGATAAGTAACTATTTAATATTCTTGTATTTTATATATCTATAATTTCAGCTTCTATGACAATCATCTCAGATTCATCAATCAAATTAAATACACTATCAAATGTATTATTATGCATTGTAAGTTTAGAATTTTTTCTTTCGACCCCAACTAATTAGAATATTGGTTTTGCTCCTATAGAGGTGTTAGTAAAGATGTTATCATTGATATACATGTCATAATAAGTATTAGAAACGTATGGAAAAGATAGAGCAAAGAATATATTTGAGTTTAAAATAGTCTCATTGTTGATAATTTTGTTGTTGGAAATATTAACTTTCAGATATTATGCTTATTCACAAAAAACAGCATAACCATCATACTAGAGACTAAGTCTTTAGCTAAACCAGGCGGTATTCAAGTACAAATTATTAGTAATTGTTAAATTTGTCTATTAAAAAGCATCAATCATTGATTGATAAGTCCCTTCATTTTATCCAATTATTGTATTATTATCCATAATAAACTAGCCTGAGTTACCGGGCTAACTGTATGAAGAGCAATCATCTTAAAAGTTTGAAAATTGTGTGATACTTTATTTTGAAATATCTATAACATTATTTTTTAATATTATATTTGCGCCTCTAATGGTAAAATAAATAGTCGTAGTTAAATAAAACTCACACCTTATAAAGATTATCCACTTAAATGCATTTAAATCACTTTTTACCAAACTATCTTCATAAGCAAAGTTGCGCTAGTTTTCTTAAATGAAAATAATATCCTCTATTTAGAGGTTTGATCAATAAGCGTGAAACTTGAATTTACCTTCAGTAAACTCTTCCAGATTTAACAATCCAATACTATACATTTCATCGATTTTGTAGTTTATTACACTTCCATCTATTTTAAGTGATGGATTAAATCCAAAATCTACTCTAATTTGTTAAGATTAATCTTCATAAATATTAAAGATTGGTTTTTGTAATAGGGCATTTTTAAAAAGACTTTATTTTTCATTATCTTCCTAATAGGATCTAAAATCAATATTAAAAATTTGTAATGGAAGTATCTAAAAATTTATTATTTACCTACCTCAAAGATATATTCAAATTAAGTATTAGTAATGGCATTGATATTGAATGTAGAGTAGTTTAGGTACCTTCTTTTACTAAAATAGTTAGATTCTTAAAAATTTGCTAATTGTAGTTAAACAATAATCGGAAAGCATCGTCTATATTTTTAAATGGATATAGCTTGGTTCCCAACTATAATTTCTATCAATTGGTATCTGAATTTATATAAATCTCACTCTCTAAATAAAACAATTTCAGTATCAAAATTACACATGCAGAACTTAAATTTGTTGCTTATATTATCTTAAAGATCATATTCGATAATCATAGGTATTAAGCTTTCTGAGCATTTGGCTGAACATTCAAGAGTATTAAAATCTAAAAATTAATCATCGCATTTTAGGCACTCAAATTAAGCTTGAGCAGAGCATAATCCGTTATAGCAAGTTTCTTCACATACTAATTGATATTATATAATTTTAGATTTTACCTTAACATTAATTTAGAGTTTGTGAAAAAAACTAAGATCTTTCGCACACTGAAGTTATTGTCATTTTCAGTAGAAAAATTAGAGTTAAATTTAAGATAAGTAATCTCATTGAATAGCTAGTAATATTATAAAATATATTAATTTTGCGCTTTAATTCTATTTATCTTCCAAATTTTATGAGAATAACTAATACTTGCAAGCGGGGTTTTGGGGTTTTGGGGTTTTGGGG